CTGTACCAAACGTCGGTTGTAAATTCAAAATTGAACTGTCGTTAAATGACAAAAAACCGACGTTAAAACTTTGACGTTAAACATGACGTCGGTTGTGTAACCAAATATTACGACGGTTTTTGAACTGACTTTAATATTTTCGCTTCAGTTTATAACCGACGTAAACAAGAAGTATAACCGAAGTGATAAGCCTTCTTTCTTGTAGTGCCTATCAACCCGAAGAACCAGATCCGACCCAGTGAATATCGTACATTCTTGAATTTTGACCCAGTCAAATCAATCAGCCGCCTAGGTGATGTAGCACTAGCTCAGCCAAACCAGTCGCTTAGGTTTACATTAGATAGACCATGCAACCTTCCATAAGTATAGATAGACTCACCATTGCACTATAAATAGAGTTTGATGATAAGCTTATCTTCTCACACTCAACACATACATATATACATTAAAAAAGAAAAAGAAATAAGCATGGCGAAGTTTGCGACCATTATCACCCTTCTCTTCGTTGCTGTTGTTCTCTTTGCTGCTTTTGGTGAGTAATGATCTTATCATATGCATGAAAAATGTGTTTAAATTTTTCATTATATTTGATTTTGATAGTTAACCTCTAGAGACAAAATTTATATATACAGAAGCACCAACAACAATGGTGGAAGCACAGAAGTTGTGCACGAAGCATAGTGGAACATGGTCAGGAGTTTGTGGAAACAATGATGCATGCAAGAACCAGTGCATTCGACTTGAGGGAGCAAAACATGGATCTTGCAACTATATCTTCCCATATCACAGATGTGTTTGTTACTTCCCATGTAATTAATCTATCAAAATCTCTCTGGTGCTTGTGTGTGTAATACGTATAAAATAAGTCTGAGTGACCTCATGACATGTATGTTTATATTTTCAATGTTTGGTTTGGTTATAAACTTATAATATAAACTTCTGCATGTGTAATACTTTTAACATGTGCAACTAGCGCATTTGAATAAGATTCCGATGAAAAGTTACTTATTTTTTGCTTTTAATATACGAAAATGCAAGATTAGAGATTTGAGATTTTGTCGACCAAAAAAATAAAAAAAGAGATTTGAGATTTAAATATCTCTAGATGGTTTAGCAAATTTGATATCGTCCATTCTAATGATCCTGTTATGGTATCAATCCCCGCAAGTATCATAACCAAAATAAACGTTATTTTAAAATTGCAATGTAAAATTTTTAATCGTTAATACCTAATTTAACCCTAGTAAAAGTGGATTCATTAAGTTTCTTAATTGAATTCGTGAGGAAAATGTCAAAGTTAGATATATATTTAAATTGAAACAGAAAGAGATTAATCAACACTTACCACTATGATTCCTTTGATGATCGACATCCACGAAATAATCAAGTTGAGTTTGTTCGGGGCTTTGGTCGAGTGGTAAGAAGACGGGCTTGGGGCACAAACACATTTCAAATTTGATCCATCTGTTACGCCGAACTAAAAACACATTGTCTTGGACACCCACGGATATAGACTTTTGCTTTCGGTTCATTTGCATACCCGGAGAGAGAATCTATCCGTAGGCTGCACCTCCCCTAGGGATTAGTCTGAGTTTTATCCTGAGTTATAAAAAAATAAAAATCAAGTTGAGTTTGTTCGGGGCTTTGGTCGAGTGGTAAGGAGACGGGCTTGGGGCACAAACACATTTCAAATTTGATCCATCTGTTACGCCGAACTAAAAACACATTGTCTTGGACACCCACGGATATAGACTTTTGCTTTCGGTTCATTTGCATACCCGGAGAGAGAATCTATCCGTAGGCTGCACCTCCCCTAGGGATTAGTCTGAGTTTTATCCTGAGTTATAAAAAAATAAAAATCAAGTTGAGTTTCTTGGAGACAAAGCAAACGACGATCATATTATTACCCTTTTATTCTCCCGCACGTTTCTAGTCTACAAGTCCTTGCAAAAACCCGTCGAATCGAGCTGCCACGTTTTTGACATGTTTTCTTGTAATCCGTGACCTAACACAAGACCGGAAAATAGTCAACAGCATTTAGGGGACCAGCATTAGCCACCACTTCACCAATCAACTGCCGAACGTATCTCGCATCGTCATTCCATCGCCGTAAAATCTATCGTTTTCCGGCCACTATCCTCATAACGTTGGAAATCCATCGGAAATTTCCAATGACTTGATCGAAAATTTCATCTGAATTAGGCATGTTTTCTTGTGGTGCCAAAAATAATATAATTCGTATCAGGTTTTGTGCTCTCCTAATTTTAGTAGTACCGGGTTGTGGAGTTATATAAATGGATTTGAAGATTTATATTGTGAATCCAATTCTATCATCGAGTGTGATCACTTATCAGACAGTTTTTGTTAAGACAAGAAAATTATTTTTTTTTGTATAGAAGAGCCTAAAAAATGAAATCTGTGACAAGGCTTAGACCCAAATGACATGGACCGGAGCAATAAAAGAACCCCCATTGAGAATATCTCAATAGGATTATTAGACTACAATTTTAATAAAATTTAAGAAATGCATGAAAGAGAAATAAGTGAGTCTCTCATTTGAGAGACCATGGAACATGGACAAAAATTGAAAGACTCAAACCACAAATGTCTAAAATTATGATTGGTTCAATTTTATGTTTTATTTAAAATTTAATTAACATATATTAAAATATTATTTTATATTTGGCGAAAGACTCCTATGGTATCTAAACCATTGGAGATGGTCTAAGTTTTTTTTTTTTTGGGTATGAATGTTAAGATGATGGTATAAATTAATAACCACCAACTAGACGGTTCAAGTCATTCTCGGTATAGAATTAACCATTTGTATTTGTGTTTGAAATTATTATATAGGATCCAAGATCCAATCCGCTTCGAAAATTACGATAAATAAAAAATCCGGATCCGGATAAGAATAGTAATATCTCCATTTTCGCGTGAGCTTCATCCATGCAAACATGTCTTACTAGGTCCTTCCGGGGTTTATTTAGGGATGGCTTGCTATGCTCCATCGAGTAGGTGCAGTGTCGTCTCAATCAAAAACTGGCCCATGGCAATCTTTAATAATAATAAAAAAATTGTTGGAAAAATGAGGTTTTTTAGCCTTAGTGAAATTTTTTTTTTTAAAAAAAGGCCCACTTTTTAGTATAATTTTGCATGTTAAATTTTTTTTTAAAGTTGGGCTAGGGCCCATGCCCCTCTTGTCTACCCTCTAAGCCGGCACTGAGT